TTTTTTGTATAACTGTTTTAGGTATTTTCTTTAGTCAGCGCTAAACTGGATCCATCGCGCTTTACCGTCGACTTGAAAGAGCTTAATGAACTTCTTGTCAAAGCTCAAGAGGAAACAGGCGTGAATTTTCTCGAGACGTGTGAGGGGTTTTTGGTATCAGGGACGTTAGAACAAATAGAAAAGTCATGCTTGTTTTTGTCAAGATATGCTAAACGTGCTACTCCTGTAACAGAGAATTCAGACAATCTACAGMATGTTCACCGCAATGACCATCCCCTTAGTGATTCGGATGATRAGGAAAACGCTCTCAAGACGTTGGTCTTGGACGTTGAACCCAAGCTGATGCAAATTCTTCAAATAAAAGTGAATGAAATTGAGAAAAAATTCAAAATGAAGATAGACTGGAAGAGTGAACCAGGTAAAGCACATTTGAGTCCCAATGGAAAAGATGCCAAGTTATTTGAAGATGGTAAAGAAGAGTTTATCACACTTTACCAGAAAGAGTTCCCAGATTTACAAGAAAAGGACTTTCCATTAGATGCTGGCAAGAGCATTGAAGATATAGATTCTACTGTAAAAGCACTGATGGAAGAATTTGCTGTGGTCATTGAAAGAAAAGACGACAAAAATGTTCATATATTTGGGAAAGAAAATGATGTGGCACAAGTAATGCAGCAGTTGCAAGGCAAATTTGGAAAACGCAGAGGAAGAAAGCTCTATAAAGCATCAAGTAATGGTGAACTGCCGATGCCTGACACCTATGCACAAGCTGCCATGCTACCTCTGAGTAAAACATTGGACAATGGAGTAGTGGTGTCTGTCCATCAAGGGGATATTACTAGAGTACTAGTTGATGTTATTGTAAATGCAGCCAATGAGAGCCTTGCGCATGGAGGGGGTGTTGCAGGAGCCATAGTAAAGCAAGGGGGTCAACGAATACAACAGGAATCAGATGCATTAGTTAGAAGATACGGATGTGTTCCTGTAGGTCGGGTTGCATATACTGGCCCAGGGAATCTTCCTTACAAGCGTATCTACCATGCCGTAGGTCCACAATGGAGAGTTCATGGTGAAGAACGTAGTCGACATTTTATTTATGAGGCGTGTATGAACAGTTTTGAACAAGCAAGCAAACACAGAATGGCGTAAGTATAATAACTCCGAGTTTTGTACTCTGTTCGTATTGTTTTACTTGGAATTATTTGGAAGCTGTCTTAATTATCATAATAACACGATCTTATGGACAGTTAATACATAACTTATTTCACGGTACGGTGATGTTATAGGTTGGTATCATTGCTCAACAATCACAAAGGTTAATTTAGACCTCGCTCTTACTTTCCTGTTATTGTGAGATACGATTTACTAATGAGCGCTTAGCCCGAAAGCTACGATAGCTTTTCCATATCAAAATATCGTAGTTAAATTTTTTTTTCCAATTACTAAATACAAAACTTGGTGGGACCTACTAGTACTTATAATCATGATACTAAAAATATAATGCGCAAAATTATCTTGACCACTATTGATTACTCACGATATTCATTTAAATCGTTCTAGTTCCATTGCCCTTCCCGGAATAAGTTCTGGTATATACGGCGTGCCAAAACACGTTTGCGCAGAAATGATGTTTGCTGCCGCAGAGAGCTTCGCAGCTGATGCATCAAGTGACAACCAACTGAAGGACATCCGGTTTGTAAACATAGACACTCCAACTTACGAAGCATTTCAAAGGGAGTTTCACAATCGTTACAGCTTGATGACGAAGAAAGACGCAGACCTTGGAAGTAACCTTAAAGACGAAGACGCGCTTGGTCTTTATCCTCAAGCAGGAAAAGAAAGAAAATACAAACGGAACACCAACCAGCAGATGTTTGACTCGACAGGAAGGACAGATCAAGTGGATAGCATTGAAGAACGTGAGCGCATAAAGAGGGCGGCTGCGGCTGCAGATGCTGCGGCTCGAAGGATGGAAAGGGAGGAAAATGTGGAGAAGCAGAATAACAATGAGAATGAGAATAAAGTGTGTCCCAAAAATAACATGCAAAATCAATCAATTGAAAGCCAACCAGAACAAGATGTGATCGTCCTGCTTGAAAAGCTGGAAATTAATGATGATCATTCTAAAAGAGAAGATACAGGAAAGATGGAAACGAATGAGAACAATACCCCTGAAATAATTAATGTAAAAGAAAAGGAAAAAGTTAGCAATATAACTAAATCGATGGACACCGACACAGATATCGAGGATGCAGATGGTAAGAAAGCTGTTCCTGAAATCCTCAATGAGGCTGACGAGTCTTCACGTCTGAAAGAAAGGCCTTGTGAACAAAGTTATTCTGAAATCAACAACAAATCACCTGGGGATGGAATAAAAGCTAGTGATCGAGAATTATCCGGAAAAGGAGCTAAAAAAACCTCCAAGTTATGTGGACGTGGAAGAGGTGCTCTAGCTTTTACTCCAACGCTTACAGGTACAATGCCTGGACGTGCAGTCAGACAGGATCCCTACAATGTAAATGGTGACAGTCGAACAGATGAGGACGAACCATCAGAAGGTGATTGTAAAGTACCACCGGGGCTAAAAGTAAGCGAAGAAGGCTTGAAGCTTGCCAACACGACAAGAAAAAGGAGCGAGGAAAGAAAATTAAGTCAGGAAGAGGATAGTGTAAATGCCAGAAAGAAGCATCTAGAAAGCGAGCCCAAAGATACAATAGATGGCGTTCCTCCTAAGAAAGCTAAAGTTGATGAAAGGACCGAAGAAAAAGAAGGCGGAGGATCAGCAAAACATGGAGATACCATGACCAACATCAACGAAAAATATGAGGACCCAGCAAATGGTAAAAGTGAGAGAGACGATGATAAAGAAGAAGTCAAAGAAGAAATAAAAACTGATATGTCTGGGTCTGATGAGTCTTATGCGTCCAAGGAAGACTCCAATTCGAACAAAGAAAATAACGAACATGACATCGTATATAAAAGTGAAAACGTCTGTGATCAGGAAAAGAAAGAAATCAAGTCTAAAGATGACCATCTGAACAACAATCAAACGGAAAAGATCAGTGGGATGCATGCTGAAAAGGAAGAGGAAAGCAGTGCTACATCTGGAGGAACAACTGATTCTAAGGAACCAATGGATTCAAAATTGAAGTCTGATGGTGATGGCCAAAGTTCAGATCATTACGCAAAACAGGAAATCAGTGCTGTGCMTGAAAACGCAACTGGACCGAARCCTTTGTATCCCAACGCCGAGGAAAATGGTGATGATCAAAATATTCATAAAGACGCAAAAGAAGAAATCATTGATGCATCCGCAAAAGCAACTGAACTTAAGAATCTCTTGGATTCTAACGTCGAGGATAGTGCTGATGATCAGAATTCTCAAAARGATTCAAAGGACGAAAGCARTGTTGCATCATCTACGAAAGCAGACGATCCTAAGGAACAAGTGGATTCCAACGTCGAGGACTATGGTAGTGATCGAAATTCTCATAAAGATTCGAAGGACGAAAGAAGTGTTGCATCTGCAGAAGCAGCTGAACCTAAGACACAAACGGATTCCAACGTCGAGGAAAATGGTAATGATCAAAATTCTCATAAAGACTCAAAGGACGAAAGCAGTATAGTATCTGAAGAAGCAACTGAACCGAATAACCCTTTGGATCCTAACGTCAAGCGTGGTAGTGAAAGTCAAGCTCCTGACCTAGAAGCAAAAAACAACAGCAAAGATGTGTCTTCAGAAGCGGCCGATCCTAAAAAACCTTTGGAGCGTGATGGTGATGGCGAAAGTTCTAATAAAAAAGCAGAAGAGGAAAGCAACACCGAGTCTGCAGAAGCGATTGATCCTAACAACGTTTCAAATTTTAGTGCTGAACCAGATTCCATGAATTCTTTTGTGTTGTTGGATATGCCAAGTGTAGATCATGACAGCTCAATAAGACCTGAAAAGACGTCARGAAGCAGCGACGAGTCAAGTGAGAGCATCGAACTTCTTAATTCAGAAGGAGATGGATTTTCTGATACTTCGTCTTCAAGCCCTGTCATTGAGCAAGGAAGTGACCTCGCCAAGCCATCTGGTGGTGACCTCGATAACTCCAACACCTTGAGCAATACACTCTACGAGGTAAATCCTATATCAGACTCGCATACAAAAGCAACRGGGRAAACGGTTGGRTCTGCWGTGRCGRACAACAAAGACCAAAGTGYTGAAAATAATGCWACGGAACTTGAAGGTGGGGCTGGTAGCTMTAGTRTSCACCAAGAAGCCRATAATACTGAGAGTATTATCAAAGACAATGATCATCCAAAAAAAATATCATCAGTGGAAGAMCTATCTCATGATAACGTTGCAGCAGATACAGTGAAAAAAGCAGTCAACTCGGGTAATGATAAACAACCATATTGCCTTTTTTATGTTGTCCTCTGTTCAAATCTGTTCTGTGTTAATTTGATAGTTTGTTTATTTGTTCAATTCGTCAKTTTGTTCGTTTGTTTGTCCGTTTGTGCGTGTGTGTTCGTATACTTTTTTCTGCCTGTCTGTSTCTTTGTGTATTTGTGCTTTTTTAAATGGGGGAGGSGACGTTTTTCATACGCGCWATAAATAAAGGAGATATTTTAGCATTGTTAATGATGACGAAAAAAGTATATGTCCTGATTGAATTGAGTGATATCCGAAATCGTGCTTCGTCAAAACSCATGAAAACGAGTGAATAGAGTTAATATATTTTTCTTATGTTTTAGATAGCGAAACCACTTCCGCCATATCAAACGAAAAACAAGAATGTGGAGTTTGCTTGTCTACACTTGATTCAGCTCAACTTTTAAGGATTTGTGATTCTGGTCACGCAGTCTGTAGAAACTGCTTCGATAACCTACAAAACGCTGAGCTTAACAGTGTTTGTCCAACTTGCCACAAAGTTGTCCCTAGAATTGCGCTACAGCCTCCAAATGGTCAAATGAAGTCTGGTATTATAGAAAAAGGTTTGGTGGGTTACGAGAGCTGTTCTACAATATATGTCGACTATGAATTTCCTGAGGGAACACAGGTTGGTATCCACGAATGGTTTCCGATGTGAAGTGCTTTGAAATAAATTAT